AGGCTTTTTGCAGCTTGAACACCTGCAAAAATCTTTCTCTCATCTGAGGAGCAGCAGTTAACTAATGAGGGGTGGGATTATGTTGGCCTTTCCATCTTATTGATTAGATTTGGAGAGCTCAGGGGTTTCAGAGGTAGGAAGAGCAGAAGTTGGCCCCAGTGTTCAGCAGCTGATGGCTGGGAATGGAGGTGGAAGTGTTGCATCCTGCCCAGGGATGCAGACAGGCATGTTATTAAAATGCACTGGGTATCTTGGCCCTGGCAGATGCCCAGGGAGATGTTGTGAGAACCTGCAAGGATGGATCAAATTGATCACTTAGCGTGGTTTAACACAAGAGCACCAAAAAGTAGAAGCTGGATGAAAAAAAACCCCAAATCCTAATCTTTTTTACCAGAGCCTGGAATTCTCTCCCTAATGTAATAGAAATGTCTGTAATGTCATTTGTGTTGCATTTGTGCAATACATTTCATAGTTTTCCACCTATACCTTTTGTCCTTGTCAGCACAGACGCTTCTTGGCTCCTTTCCTTTTCTTTCCTCTTCTTTTCATCCAATAATTTACCGTAACAATTTTTTTTTTTATAATATAAAAAGCAGCAAAAGCAAAAACCACTAAACAAATCTAATGGCCCATCTGTGATCAGCAGAACAAATCCCAAAAGCAAAAGGCAGTGATTGCATCAACCTCATCTCTTGGCCCAAGCTCCCTTTCCCTCCTCCAAGGCCAAACTTCTAAAGCTTTAACTCTGTTGTGTTTTTTTCCTCTCCTCTGTTTGGATGAACCTTCACGGGTGGAATCAATCAGTGGCTCTTTTTGCCTGAGAAAAGAGTGGGTTAAAATGAAATGACAGGTCCAAGTTGTGGCCTCCCTTCCCTGCACTGTGCCTGTTCTCATTCCCTTCTGCATCTGCCCGTGCAGCCACTCGACATTTTCAATGTTCCCTTCCCACCCCCGGCCCCAGCTGACCATGACACTGCTCAGGGATGACTAAAGCAACGCACAGCGGCTTCATGTGACCGTGCTGTCACTTGGGAGTCATTCTTTCCCCCCTTGGCTCCTCTCAGACCTTCCCAGGGGCCTCAGCTCACGAGCCTATTGCTCCCTCTAGAGCCCTGCCGAGCTGCTCTGGAGGGACCACTGGAACCCTGTGAGCTGGGAACTCCCCACTCCTTTCTGCTCCCAGCCTCTGGCAGCTGGGATGCAGGTGGGCTGCAGGTGGGCTGCAGGTGGAATTCAGGCTCCAAGTTCCTGTATTTCGCTGCAGAGCAGCAGCAGCAGATGCTTTGTTCTCGTCTGCTTTGTTCTGATCATGGAATGATGGAATGGTTTGGGTTGGAAGGGACCTTAATGCTCATCTCATTCCACCCCCTGCCACAGGCAGGGACACTTTCCACTAGCCCAGGTTGCTCATTTGCTGGCTCAGGTTGATCCTCACCTTCTGGTGGTCCAGGAATAGTATTGCTGAGCAGGTCCTGGCAGATGGTATCACACAGTCCCAGAATCATCTTGGGTTGGAAAAGCCCTCCCAGCCCATGGATCCCCCTGTGCCCCATCCCCACCCTGTCCCCCAGCCCAGAGCACTGAGTGCCACGGCCAGGCCTGCCTTGGACACCTCCAGGGCTGGGCACTCCAAACCTCCCTGGGCAGCCCCTGCCAAGGCCTGACCACCCTTGCCAGCAACAAATTCCTCCTCCTGGCCAACCTGAGCCTCCCCTGGTGCAATTTTAGGCACTGTCCTCTCCTCCTGTCCCTTGTTCCCTGGAAGAGGCCAAACTCCCCTGGTTCCCCCTCCTGTCAGGCAGAAGGACATTGTGCTTTTGCTTCCTCTTAAACCCTTGCAGCTTTGCAGTGTCAGGGGATCTCATGGGCAGTCCTGTAAAGTCGTGTGGGGACAACTGGTTTAATCCATCCGAGGTGGTGGTTTGGAGTGCCCAGCCCTGGAGGTGTCCAAGGCAGGCCTGGCCGTGGCACTCAGTGCTCTGGGCTGGGGGACAAGGTGGGGATGGGGCACAGGGGGATCCATGGGCTGGGAGGGCTTTTCCAGCCTCAAGGATTCTGGGATTCTGTGCCTTCAGCTGTCAAATCAGCAGTGACTCCTGAGGGCACTTTTGATAGCTCATTCTCCACCAAACCCACCAACAGTGCCCGGACAACATTTCAAAAGTCCCCATTGTATCCCGGCCAGGAATGCTACTGTTTCCATTACTTTTTTTTCTGGGGAAGGGTTCTGACCTTAAAGCTCTTGCAAAAATAAACATTACCAAGCAGTTTTTCCTACCCTGCTTGCGAGGGGAGAGCAGATGGAAGCAGTGAGTCTTGGGCTCTGCCCTGAACACGTACGAGGTCTCGCTGTCTGTGGGAAGGGTTCCCAAAGGCAGAACCCGGTCCCACCTCTGGACAACTTAATTCTTGTGCTCCTGAGGTGCCACGTGGCTGATATTAGGAACTGGCAGGGATAGTTGTTGGCTGTCACTGTCAGGACATTATCAAATTGTCATCGTGATTATTGGGGGCAGTCAAGCAAGGCCAGAGTTTCAGAATGAGTTTTTGGGGGTGTTTGGTCCCTCTTTATATTCCCCAGAGAGGTCAGTCCCTCACCTGGGCTGCCTGGCTCAGCTTTGGGCAGTCTGTAGGTGCACACACACAGGTGTAAGTGCATTATGCAAGGGTATTTGAAAATAAAAATCTGTTTTATGGTTGTACCACAATACATAAAAACAAGGAGGAGAGTTTTACGGTGCTGCTGTCACCCCAAAACAGGTATCTCCACAAAACACAGATTTCCCTGACAATACCTCCAATCTAAATGTGCCTTTGTCAACCAGACCCATAAATGATGAATAATGCAGAAGTGATAAAACCACTTAATAAAGGCGAATGTAAATGGAACACAACAAACCCGAGAAAAAAAAAAACACACGCAGCCAGAATTATTGGTGAGAGCAGTGAGTGACATGTAGGTTTATGGTTATATAGGCCTGTGGTTAACCAGTATGTGGTTAATGAATAGTCCTCTGTCAACAAGAAATAAGTTAAGTGTCTTCCTGCTCTTGCCAGCTCGTGTCCCAACCTCACACGGGCTCAGAGATCGCCTGCTCTGCAGAAAATCCTGAGAAAGTTACTTCACCTCCCTCTTCTTCTTGATTCTGGTCTTGGAGACTGGCAGTGTGGCCACGTTTTACCACATTTCACTATTGTAGTTTGAGTTTTTTTCCTGCCTTTATTTTTTGTAAAGAAGCATCTCAAGAGCCTGCTAAAGAAATAAATTTACTACATGTTCTTGCAGGGCAGCAGTTGTTAAAAAAAAAAAAAACACAAAACAAACCCAAAGTGGAAGCAAGATGGAAATACTGCAGATTAGTAAAGAGAATAAAGTATATTTTTCAAGATTCTTTCAGTCTTAGTGATCTAAGTGTTGTATATAAGGATACAGAGAAACTGGATTTTGGAAAGAAGGCAAATCTAAGGTGGCTCCTTTGATGTTTGTTAAGTCTGACGTGAAGGGTGATAAAGTTTTTTGGGGAGAAGTTTATCAAACCTTATTGCTGATGCCTCACAGAAAGATTCTGCTGTGCTGACAGGGAAAGATTAACAAAGCTGTAAAGCTGTAATTGGTATTTAAAGGAGGTCAAGAGCACGGCCATCCTTGCTCTGGGGAGATGTAGGACCCAAGATTTGATGGGATTCAGGGATCTGGGATCATCTGGGCTTCTGCAGCAATGATTTTCACCCCCGGGACTGCTTTCCAGTGAGGGTGGGGAGGTGGGAGCTGCCTTAGGAGAGGGATTGAATTGCCAGTGAATGCACAGGGGGAATCGGGGATAATGTTGCTGTTGGAGGCGGGCATTTGTATGCACATTTATATTTACACTTAGATTTAAATTTCTCCTCATTTATAGGGCTCAGTGGAGCAAAAAATATAAAAAAAAAATAAAATAAAAAAAATAGGAAGGTTTGGAAGGGAACAAACTGGGCACTCAGGAGGGCTGGAGCCAAGTGGTGGAATGAAGGAGGCAGAACTCCACGTGCCCAGAGGAGGAGAACCTCAGTTTTCTTACAGCAGTTCCTGGTTATCTAAGTTGGGGTGATGTCCCCTGATGTCTCTGGCTGATAACAACGATTTCTGGCAGCGTCTGAGTCCTCTGTGCTGCTGGGAGGGCTGTGCTGAAGCTGCTGACAGGGCAGTGTTTTCCCCGCTGCCCACGCCAGGGCTGTCGGGAGCGCACAGGCGAGGTCTGTGCATCAAAGATGCAGGATGTTACTTTTGTCATCTCAAAAAGGCCAGCAGCAAATCCAGGGGCAGCAGCAGCCCTTTCCTCAGCTCTGAGCTGTGCCATGGAAGAGGCCTTCACGGATTTCTTGCTGACTAACAGAGAAATCGAGCATTATGGCTCTGCTGTGTCCTCGTAAGATGTTTTCATTCTCTGTGGACGAGCTGCAGGGATTTTTATTTTTTATTTTTATTTTTTTTCCATTCCCTTGTTTCTTGGCATTGCAGTGGCAGATGACTTTTAAAGGGTTCTGGGTCACAATGTGGAACTGATCTCCTGGTGGCCTCAGCCACAAAGCGTGGGATTTTACGATCTGAGCACCCAGTTCTCTTTAATTTTAACGAGTGCTGCTGATCAGATTCCCGTGGCAGTTCTGGGAGAGTCAGCCACGGTTTCTGAGCCTCTCTGAACTACCAGCCTCTAGAAAGCACAGATAAAGTCCCAGCTGCACATCAGATAAACTCCAACTGTTAGGGGTAACCTCCTCTTTTATATATATATCTATAAACAGAGCGTAGATCATTTAAATATAAATTAATTCTTTTCCCTGAAAGCTTTGAGCTGTTGCCATGGAGGGAACGAATCCAGCACTGGGATTACACGCCCCACTCTCTGGGCACGGCTTTATCTTCAGCTGCAATGTTTCAGTGCCATTCAGGGTGTTTGAGTGCTACCAGAAACGGGTTCTCTTCGCTCACTAACACCTTTTCTTTCTTCCTCCTGTTGCAGGGAAAAGCTTCACGTTGACAATCACGGTGTTCACAAACCCCCCCCAAGTAGCCACCTACCACAGAGCCATCAAGATAACAGTGGATGGACCTCGGGAACCCAGAAGTAAGTGAGCTCAGGGCGGCATTTGCAGCGGGATAGGACGGTGGATCAGAGTAGGGGTTGGTGAAATCCAGCCTTATCCAGTGCATGTGGAGCAGGGGGAATGTTTTAAGCCATGGCTGTCCCACGAATGGCTTTAATCATCCCTTCCCAAAGGCTTATTTTTCACTGGTGTCCAGCTGGCCCAGGACATGACTTGCATTTCTGCAAGTCCCTCCCCAGGGCTGCCTTGGCTCCTACCCAAGCGCTGACAGAAGGGATGCTGGGAAAAGGTGGGCAGCAAATACCTGACACATCATTTCTAGCCAGTCTTGCCTTTCAGATGTTAAGAGGATCTTAAAGCATTGGAAACCAATATGTCATTGATCCAAGCCCTCAGGCTCAGCCACCCTGCAAGCATAAATAAGTGCCTGAGGCAGGACACACGGTTGCTGCCCCATGGAGTTCCTTGTGCTGTGGCAGAACTTGGGAGAACCTGTTTGCTCAGCCAGCCACCCTTCCCTCTTCTCCTTCTTCTCTTTTTTTTTTTTTTTTTTTTTAAAGAATGAAGCACAAGGAGGAGATGAAGGGTTTGATATCCCCGGGGAATACCCAAACCCCTCACACAGGTGGTTGTTTTGTTCAGGTGGTGAGGGCAGGGTGTGCTGTCTGTGGGGTGAAGGGAGGGTGGAGCAGATGTGCAGGGAGAGATCATTGAATCACAGGTTGGTTTGGGTTGGAAGGGATCTGAAAGATGATCCCATCCCACCCTGTGCAATGGGCAGGGACACCTTCCACCAGCACAGGGTGCTCCAAGCCCCGTCCAACCTGGCCTGGGACACTTCCAGGGATCCAGGGGCAGCCACAGCTTCTATGGGAATTCTATCTCTCCCAGCCCCTCACAACCCTCACAGCCAGCAAGTCCTTCCCAATATCCCATCTAACCCTGCCCTCTGGCAGTTTGAAGCCATTCCCCCTTGTCCTGTCCCTCCAGCCCTTGGAAATAGTCTCTCTCCATCTTTCCTGGAGCTCCTTCAGGCCCTGCAAGGCCACACTCAGGTCCCCCCAAAGCTTCTCTTGTCCAGCTGAACAATCCCAGCTGTGCCAGCCTTTCCTCCCAGCAGAGCTGCTCCAGCCCTGGGATCCTCTTGGTGCCTCCTCTGGGCTCTCTCCAGCAGCTCCCTGTGCTCCCTGTGCTGGGATCCCAGGGCTGGTGCCTGTTACCAGAGGCATTTGTTGGCCTCAGTCACAAACCCAAATGGGGCATTTTCATACTTTTATCAAAATGTAAATTGTGGTTTGTGTGTGGTTAGCGTCTTGCACTCCTCCTGCACCCTTGGCAGAAGTTCTGGCTGTTGCTTAAGTGGAATTGTCCCGGGAGGGCAGAACAGCAGGACTCAAACACCCACTGGAGAACGAGACCCACAGCTCGGGGCTGCTTCCCTAGAAAAGAAATGTTTGAAGCTGCAACTAAAATAGCTTAGAAAACTCATGTTTTCTGCTCAAGCCTTCATTTGCCTGAGTTGCACCACGATGCTGCATGTGTAGAGTGGAAAAGTCTGACCCATACTTTTTGTACTTGAAGACAGACTTTTAAACAAATAATGCTGGCAGGGTGAGGCTTCTTATTTAGTTTGGTTTGTTGTTTTGTTTTGTTCTTTTTTTGTTTTGTTTTAAACTGTGGTTGAATTGTCCCTGAAGAATCTCCTCAGTGAACCAGGCAGCTGTGCACATGAAAAAGATATTTGTATATGCAAGTGGCAGATTTGTATATGCAATTACCTGGGCATGCTCACGGCTTGCAGACAACAAACAAACAAACTGCAGCTCTTTGAATATACATCTGCTCAGGAGGGTAAGGAACAAACTCATCCTGCAGGCACGGCTTCTTCTGTTCTAAATCAATCCTTCAGTTGGTGTAATAGTTAATATTTAATAAGGCTCTGCATTTTGAAAAGGAAGTGGAGATGTGATACAGGCAGGAGGGACATGCGTGTGTGCCCGACCCAAAGGGATGCAAAAGCTTCCTTGTCATTCACTGAGGCTGCTGCAAGCAAATCAGCTGCAGAGGGGAGGAGGCTTCCTGGGTGACATCAGGAAAGGTCAGGGTGGGAACCCACCCTGTAGGGAGGCAGAGCTCTGAGTCATTCGTGACGCAGCAGAGAAAGGGTGATGGGATCATGGAATCATGGAATGGTTTGGGTGGGAAGGGACCTTAAAGCCCATCCAGTGCCACCCCTGCCATGGGCAGGGACACCTTCCACCAGCCCAGGTTGCTCTAAGCCCCATCCAACCTGGCCTGGGACACTTCCAGGGATCCAGGGGCAGCCACAGCTTCTCTGGGCAACCTGTGCCAGGGCCTGCCCACTCTCCCAGCCAGCAATTCCTTCACAATATCCCATCTAACCCTGCTTTTCATCAGTTTGAAGCCATTCCCCTTGCCCTGTCCCTCCATCCCTTGGAAATAGTCTCTCTCCATCTTTCCTGCAGCTCCTTCAGGCCCTGCAAGGCCACACTCAGGTCCCCCCAGAGCTTCTCTTGTCCAGCTGAACAATCCCAGCTGTGCCAGCCTTTCCAAAGGCACTGACTGCGATGGGTCTGTGAGGACATTCCCTGACCCCACCTGGATTTAGTCAATGGAGTAGCACCCCCAGCATCAAAAATGGCATTTTCGTGGCATCTGCTTCTGGACCTTCTTGCAGGGCAGTGGATGCCACTGTCCCTCCTTTCCCCCCAAACCCAACCTATTCCTGCAGCTTGGGTTTGTCTCAGGAAACCATCTGCCTTGTGAATCTTTGTGCCAGGGTCTCACCACCCTCTGAGCAAAGAATTGCTTCCTAATCTCTCATCTAACCCTGCCTCCTATCAGTTAAAAACCATTCCCCCTTGTCCTGTCACTCTCTGCCTGCATAAAAAGTCCCTCTCCCTCCTTTTTCTAAGCCCCTCCAGGCCCTGGAAGGGGCTCTGAGGTCTCCCCAGAGCCTTCTCTCCTCCAGGCTGAGCAATCCCATCTCCATCAGCCTGGCAAATTGTTCTATTACATTATTATTGTTATATTATATTCATTTTCAAGTGGGCTTCGAAGTCTTTGGGTTTGACTTCTCACCAAGGGTTTCCAAATCCCAGCTGTGACCACTCCAGTGTCTCTTCTCTCCCTGTTTTTGATGGAGACCTGGATTGGCCTGACTCACACCTGGCACCTTATGTGGTGAGGTTTGTCAAACCATGCTGGCTGCTGAAGGCATCAAAAATGATATGGGTCTGCCTGTATGGAGACCAGAATCAAAACAAAACTGCTGGATTAGAGTGTTTCCAGTTTCAGTGATGGATATTTGGGAATGCTCACAGAGCCACGAGTCACTCACTGGAGCGGCAGGAATTACAGAAGGACCAGGAGGCATTTTCTAAGATGTCCTGACTCACAAGAGACCTGGGGAAGTTGTGGGAACAAAATGAGATACTGGTGTCTTCCAGAGATCTAGAAAAAGTCGTGCTGAAGTCCAAAACTAACTCTAGAAAATGTTTTATTTATTTACTTTCTGTGAGGGTTCCAGTGAGTGCCTGAGCTCTCTGTGGAAAATGCTGGAAGGTAACAGGCCAGGGCAGGTGCAGAGCAGAGATCAGAAACAATTTCTCCCTGCAGGAGTGGTCAGGCCTTGCAAGAAGTGTCCCAGGGAGGTGGTGGAGTCCCTGTGTGTGGGAGTGTCCCAGAGGTGTCTGGATGTGGCCCTTGGGGACGTGGATTAGGGGTGATCCTGGTGGTGCTGGGTGAGGGTGGCACTGGATGATCCTGGAGGTCTCTCCCAACCCTGGTGATTCTGTGACTTCTGGGCTCTCTGGGACGTGTGGAGATGACACAGCAGGTGACAATAACACCATCACACCTTCACTCTGCTCCCAGGTCTGCAGACACACCAAGTCCTTCCCCATCCTGTCACACACGGGGTCGTGGTCTCTGATGGCTCTGGTGCTCTTTGCCCAGCAGCATCTTTGCACCTGTAAATTTCCCTTTACAGTTGTGACAAACTCTCAAGCCTGGGGCTCCCACCACTGCCCTCTTTTTGCCCTACAATTCCTGTGCCTGTGCCTGCCCAGATGATGCTTCCCCTCAAATCATCACAGCTCATCCAGAGAGCCAAGGCACTTCAGGATCTGCCTCTTCCAAACGAGCTTTTTAAAAAAAATCTCTTTTGAACTCAGCGTTTCTATTCCCCACGTCTGAATAAATGCTTATTTTCAAAAATGGGCATTTTTTTTTTCTTTTTTGTGGAAAGGAATCAGACTGCACTGTCAGGGAGAAGGGCGAGATGACCTAAGCCATCGTTTTCTCCTCCAGCTTCTGTGATTCTATGATTCATAAAGCAATTTATGTTTTTTATGAGCTCGGTCCGTGGGGAAAATCATTAGCAGTAACCAGATCAAGAGTAGTGCTCCTGATGAAAATACTTTTGGTTAGGAAACTTGGTAGAAACCGTATGACTCTTAAATTAAATATTTCCCTTAGGCCGTTTGACCTCCCGTGTACATCTGCTGAAAAATCAGGTTTTTTTCCTTCTTTTGACTGCTTCTCTCTGTTTTCCTCATTGAATTGTTTTAACCTACATAGCTCTGAAAAATTCACTAATGGACCAGGTGCCTGAGAGTGAGGCAAAAGGAAAAGGTTACATGGATTTAGCCCCGGTCTGAGGTTAAGCTGGGCATTAAATGTGATTATCCCCTGCTGGATGTGTAGTTTTCCCAAATAGGTTTTTGACATCTTTATATCAAAAGGTAGGAGCAGACAGAGAGGAATATATTGCTTAAAGAAGGAGCTTAAAAAGCTGGTCCAAGAAGAGCCTTTTTTAGGAATGAAAATTTCCTTTTGCCTCCTGGCAAAGCTGGGGAGGGACAGAGGGGCAGGTCAAGCAGAGTTCAGGACAACCCCAGACCTTGATCTGGGGTGATCCTGACTCACCTGGGAGGTTCCAGGAAAGCCTGTGGATGTTGTGAAGGAAATCTCCAAATGCCCCCTTGCCCAGCCTGAG